TTTTTATTAATCCAATTCAAAAAGTATTAAAATTATATTGCTAGATAATGATTATTTATAGATACAAAATAATTGCTAAGCATATACAGAGATAAGTTTAGATAGTATAGACGTTTTTTGTAATAAAATAACCATTAACATTATAATTGTAAAAAGGAGATATTATCTCTTATTTTTAATTTCTTCTTATCCACATCAAGTAGTAGATAAATATAACAACCATTTATCAATTAAAATATTTACAATAAGTTATTTATGTTTTATTTTAAAACTGCAAAGCAAAAATAGTGTAATGCTAATTAATGATTATGCAAAAATTCAAAGATTCACAAAGCAAGCAATTATTCCTAGTTGTTTTATATCTTTAAATTTCTTTTTTGTATATCTTTTTTTTTTATACAAGTTCTTTATCCTTATGATTGACAAAAGAAGGTAATACATTGGATGAGTCATGATCTCACATAATAATGAACAATGAGTTACCTTAAATGTTGAATTGAACCTATTTACCATTTATATTTGTTTAGAATGAATATCGGAGTATCTATTGCTACTTCATACGTAATACTTTATGAACACAATGTATTGTTTATTAAATAAATCACATTGTTTATAAAAAATAGTACAAAATTAGACAATTTCCATATATCTTATTAGTTCTAAGCAGTTCCGAATACCAAAATCCTTTATTTGTTTGAAATATTTTACTACGCTTATGGAAGAAAGTACGTAGTTGATAAAAATATAATCATACATATTTCCAAAAAAAAGAGACAACAACCAATATTTATTATAATGAAATCTTAAATACGTAATACTGTATTTTATTAAGTATTTTATAAAGCTTTGAAAGATGAACTTTAGCGTTTTACAATGAATCTTGAATTGTCATTATTATTTAAAAAGAACGGCATTGATAAATCATTTTGTTATATTAGTAATAATAAAACCCTACTTATACACCGCTTCAATATTCTATAGAAAACGTATTTTTGTTTACTAAAAATCAAACTGTCAAAAATATGATCTTTAAAAGAACAAATACTTCTAAACCCAAAACTAATTTGAAAGTCCGAAAAAAAAGAACTCCAAGTGGGTTTATACTTTATAAAAACCGAAACAAACTAAACCCTCGCGTTGCCAGTGAATTATATAAAAAGGAAAGCGATGATGTCATTACAAATTTTGAAAGACAAGCGGAGATGATGCGATTCGGGACTACATCAAACTTTATTAACCTGGATGCATTAAACTTTATTAACTTGGATGCAAAATGTTTTAAAAATACACCAGATGCAAAATTTTTTGAAAATTCATCTGAACAAATTGACGATACGTGCACAACTGTTTCAACCACTAATGAGCCAAAAACGACTCTGCGCTCCAGTTTTAATAACGTTATCGACGAGATCGGAAGAGCA